AAGCAGTTACTGACCAGAAGCATAATCGCTTAGGACCCTCGAAAGGGGTAGCAATCTCACCCCCATTTCAAAAAATAAATATTTGACGCACTTAAAAATGAGATATCAAGTTGGAATTAATACCAACTATACCTTTTAATGCAAGCAGTTACCGGTCAAAAGCAAAATCGCTTAAGACCCTCGGAAGGGGCAGCAATACCACCCCTATTTTAAAAAGTAAATATTTGACGTACTTAAAAATGAGATATCAAGTTGGGATTAATACTAACTATACCATTTAATACAAGCAGTTACTGGCCAAAAGAAGAATCGCTTAGGACCCTCGTAAGGGGTAGCAATCCCACCCCCATTTCAAAAATTAAATATTTGACGCACTTAAAAATAAGACATCAAGTTGGAATTAATACTAACTATACCTTTTAATGCAAGCAGTTACTGGCCAAAAGAAGAATCGCTTAGGACCCTCGGAAGGAGTAGCAATCCAACCCCTATTTTAAAAAATAAATATTTGACGTACTTAAAATTTAGATATCAAGTTGGGATTAATACCAAGTATGCCTTTTATTGCAAGCAGTTACTGGCCAAAAGAATAATCGCTTAGAACCCTCGTAAGGGGTTGCAATCCTACCCCCATTTCAAAAAATAAATATTTGACGCACTTAAAAATAAGACATCAAGTTGGAATTAATACCAACTATACCCTTTAATGCAAGCAGTTACTGGCCAAAAGAAGAATCGCGTAGGACCCTCGTAAGGGGTAGCAATCCCACCCCCATTTCAAAAAATAAATATTTGACGCACTTAAAAATAAGACATCAAGTTGGAATTAATACCAACTATACCTTTTAATGCAAGCAGTTAATGGCCAAAAGAAAAATTTCTTAGGACCCTCGTAAGGGGTAGCAATCCCACCCCCACTTCAAAAAATAAATATTTGACGCACTTAAAAATGAGATATCAAGTTGGGATTAATACCAAGTATACCTTTTAATGCAAGCAGTTACTAACCAGAAGCAGAAGTGCGTCAAATATTTATTTTTTGAAGTGGGGGTGGTATTGCTACCCCTTACGAGGGTCCTAAGCGATTGTTCTTTTGTTCAGTAGCTGCTTGCATTAAAAGGTATACTTGGTATTAATCCCAACTTGATATCTCATTTTTAAGTGCGTCAAATGTTTATTTTTTTGAAATGGGGGTGGGATTGCTACCCCTTCCGAGGGTCCTAAGCGATTCTTTTTTTGTCCAGTAGCTGCTTGCATTAAAAGGTATACTTGGTAATATTTCCAACTTGATATCTCATTTTTAAGTGCGTCAAATGGTTATTATTTGAAATGGGGGTGGGATTGCTACCCCTTACGAGAGTCCTAAGCGATTCTTCTTTTGGCCAGTAACTGCTTGCATTAAAAGGTATAGTTGGTATTAATTCCAACTTGATGTCTTATTTTTAAGTGCGTCAAATATTTATTTTTTGAAATGGGGGTGTGATTGCTACCCCTTCCGAGGGCCCTAAGCGATTCTTCTTTTGGCCAGTAACTGCTTGCATTAAAAGGTATAGTTGGTATTATTTCCAACTTGATATCTTATTTTTAAGTACGTCAAATATTTATTTTTTGAAATGGGGGTGTGATTGCTACCACTTCCGAGGGCCCTAAGCGATTCTTCTTTTGGCCAGTAATTGCTTGCATTAAAAGGTATAGTTGGTATTAATTCCAACTTGATGTCTTATTTTTAAGTGCATCAAATATATATTTTTTGAAATGGGGGTGAGATTGCTACCCCTTACGAGGGTCCTAAGCGATTCTTCTTTTGGCGAGTAACTGCTTGCATTAAAAGGTATACTTGGTATTAATCCCAACTTGATATCTCATTTTTAAGTGCGTCAAATATTTATTTTTTGAAGTGGGGGTGGTATTGTTGCCCCTTACGAGGGTCCTAAGCGATTGTTCTTTTGGCCAGTAACTTTTTGCAATAAAAGGTATAGTTGGTATTAATCCCAACTTGATATCTCATTTTTAAGTGCGTCAAATATTTATTTTTTGAAGTGGGGGTGGGATTGCTACCCCTTACGAGGGTCCTAAGCGATTGTTCTTTTGGCCAGTAACTGCTTGCAATAAAAGGCATACTTGGTATTAATCCCAACTTGATATCTAAATTTTAAGTACGTCAAATATTTATTTTTTGAAATGGGGGTGGGATTGCTACCCCTTACGAGGGCCCTAAGCGATTCTTCTTTTGGCCAGTAATTGCTTGCATTAAAAGGTATAGTTGGTATTAATTCCAACTTGATGTCTTATTTTTAGTGCTTCAAATATTTATTTTTTGAAATGGGGGTGAGATTGCTACCCCTTACGAGGGTCCTAAGCGATTCTTCTTTTGGCCAGTAACTGCTTGCATTAAAAGGTATACTTGGTAATAATTCCAACTTGATATCTCATTTTTAAGTACGTCAAATATTTATTTTTTTAAATGGGGTGTGATTGCTACCCCTTCCGAGGGCCCTAAGCGATTCTTCTTTTGGCCAGTAATTGCTTGCATTAAAAGGTATAGTTGGTATTAATTCCAACTTGATATCTCATTTTTAAGTGCGTCAAATATGTATTTTTTGAAGTGGGGGTGGTATTGCTACCCCTTACGAGGGTCCTAAGCGATTGTTCTTTTGGCCAGTAACTTCTTGCAATAAAAGGTATACTTGGTATCAATCCCAACTTGATATCTCATTTTTAAGTGCGTCAAATATTTATTTTTTGAAGTGGTGGTGGGATTGCTACCCCTTACGAGGGTCCTAAGCGATTGTTCTTTTGGCCAGTAACTGCTTGCAATAAAAGGCATACTTGGTATTAATCCCAACTTGATATCTAAATTTTAAGTGCGTCAAATATTTATTTTTTGAAATAAGGGTGGGATTGCTACCCCTTCCGAGGGTCCTAAACGATTTTTCTTTTGTCCAGTAGCTGCTTGCATTAAAAGGTATACTTGGTATTAATCTTAACTTGATATCTCATTTTTAAGTGCGTCAAATGTTTATTTTTTGAAATGGGGGTGGGATTGCTACCCCTTCCGAGGGTCCTAAGCGATTCTGCTTTTGTCCAGTAGCTGCTTGCATTAAAAGGTATACTTGGTAATAATTCCAACTTGATATATCATTTTTAAGTGCGTCAAATATTTATTTTTTGAAATGGGGGTGGGAGTGCTACCCCTTTCGAGGGTCCTAAGCGATTCTTCTTTTGGCCAGTAACTGCTTGCATTAAAAGGTATACTTGGTATTATTCCCAACTTGATATCTCATTTTTAAGTGCGTCAAATATTTATTTTTTGAAGTGGGGGTGGGATTGCTACCCCTTACGAGGGTCCTAAGCGATTGTTCTTTTGCCCAGTAACTGCTTGCAATAAAAGGCATACTTGGTATTAATCCCAACTTGAAATCTAAATTTTAAGTACGTCAAATATTTATTTTTTAAAATAGGGGTGGGATTGCTACCCCTTCCGAGGGTCCTAAGCGATTTTGCTTTTGGCCAGTAACTGCTTGCATTAAAAGGTATACTTGGTATTAATCCCAACTTGATATCTCATTTTTAAGTGCGTCAAATATTTATTTTTTGAAATGGGGGTGGGATTTCTACCCCTTCCGAGGGTCCTAAACGATTTTTCTTTTGTATAGTAGCTGCTTGCATTAAAAGGTATACTTGGTAATAATTCCAACTTGATATCTCATTTTTAAGTACGTCAAATATTTATTTTTTAAATGGGGGTGTGATTGCTACCCCTTCCGAGGGCCCTAAGCGATTCTTCTTTTGGCCAGTAACTGCTTGCATTAAAAGGTATATTTGGTATTAATTCCAACTTGATATCTCATTTTTAGGTGCGTCAAATATTTATTTTTTGAAATGGGGGTGGGATTGCTACCCCTTCCGAGGGTCCTAAGCAATTTGTCTTTTGTCCAGTAGCTGCTTGCATTAAAAGGTATACTTGGTATTAATCCCAACTTGATATCTCATTTTTAAGTGCGTGAAATGTTTATTTTTTGAAATGGGGGTGGGATTGCTACCCCTTCCGAGGGTCCTAAGCGATTCTTCTTTCGTCCAGTAGCTGCTTGCATTAAAAGGTATACTTGGTAATAATTCCAACTTGATATCTTATTTTTAAGTGCGTCAAATATTTATTTTTTCAAATGGGGGTGGGATTGCTACTTCTGCGAGGGTCCTAAGCAATTCTTCTTTTGTGCAGTAGCTGCTTGCATTAAAAGGTATACTTGGTATTAATCCCAACTTGATATCTCATTTTTAAGTGCGTCAAATGTTTATTTTTTGAAATGGGGGTGGGATTGCTACCCCTTCCGAGGGTCCTAAGCAATTCTTCTTTCGTCCAGTAGCTGCTTGCATTAAAAGGTATACTTGGTATTAATCCCAACTTGATATCTCATTTTTAAGTGCGTCAAATATTATTTTTTTAAAATGGGGGTGTGATTGCTACCCCTTCCGAGGGTTCTAAGCGAATCCGCTTTTGGTCAGTAACTATTTGTATTAAAACTTATACGTGGTATTAATTCTGCTTTGATATTTTATTTTTAATAATATGAATATTAAGAAATTTCATTATGAATGTATTATTTTTCATGTATTTATTTTTTTTATTTATTTATATAAGGCAAATAACATTTAAAATACAAACGACCTCAATTTTCAATTAACACATAAAATTGAAATAAACGTATGTATTGCCCTTTTTAACGGTCCACTGTATTGTTCGGGAGTACTCGGTAAACGGGCTACCAGTTTTTGGCTACTAACTTCACACCGGTTATATTTAGTTTATCCTCCTCTAAACATTTATAGAGGTGCTGCAATAGGCTGTACAAAATAACCGGAAAAGCCTATAATAACTAGATAGGAAAGTCATGTGTTGGACACATCAGATTTTTTTTTATATATCCTTATAAGTTTAGTAGATATTTTAGTATAAATTAATGAACATCGTTATTAAATGGTATAGGAAAAAATGGATTGTTTTTATTCTAATATGAAAATTTTATTTATTTATTATACATCATAAAAATAAGACTTATATTGTGGCCAATAAAATAGTATAAAGGTGTGAAAACAAGTGCGCAAATTACATCCTACCATAGACAAAATAATCTGCGCTAGCTGTACACTGTGTAAAAAAATTAAGAACAAGACTCAAACATATCTAGTGAATAAACTTATTGTTATTGTCGTAAGTATAAGATAAAACAATCCTTTCAAAACATATCTGTTAATATGTATCTTCAATGTAATTTGGTCATTACGTCCAGAGCTAATGATTTTATTATTATATTGCTTAGGATACTGGTTACGCCGTTGGACTGCAATTTGGTTCGAATTATATGATCCGTTTTGCACTGTACTTATTTCTTCAATTATTACAGAAGAAGTTTTTTCGGGATGAGCTTGAAACAGCCCTTTTATTTTGGAAAAAGCTGTTTGCTTGTTTCTTTCGCAAAGAGCTATTCGTCTTTCTCTTTCTTCTTCCTTTTTTATCTGCTCGCCAAAGTTTGCAATACTTCGACTGGGGGAATGTAGACCCTAAAAGAAACAGAACAGTTAAGTGTATATCAAAAACTGAAAGTGATGTACATTTATACATTTATACAGTAAAGTGGGAGCACACAGGGTCGCCGAGAGTCAGGCGGGGCCCCGGGACAATTTTCCAGGCGGGACAATTTTAATAAAAATATTACATTTCTAAAAAAAGGTACTCCTATTTAGTAAAATGTCTAAAAAAAAATATCTTCATCTTGTATTTTACATAAACCAGCGCTCCTCCC